GGAACTAGCATGGAAATTGTTCCTTTGGCCGTTCTTTGCCTTGCCCTTGTCCCTCTCTGTGCATCTTCATTCCGTCCATCCTTGGCTGTTCACTCATGTGCTGCTGCAGCCCAGCTAAGAGCAATCTGCAGTGCAGGACGGGGCTTCTGTTTGACAGCAGGGTCCTGTGCTTTGCTGCCACTCTGGAGTTTTACTGACTGAAGTGTTTGTGTACCTCAGATCACTTCTGCACACCTGGACAACCCACCAGCCATCCCTCCTAGGCAACCCACCTCTAAAGTGTATTCTCCAAGGTACTCGGTGCCTGATCGGACCTGCATCTCTGACTCCTGTGTTACCCCTGCCAACCCCCCCGAGTTACCGCCCCGGGAACCTGTGCGAACTCCGGATGTTTTCTCTAGCTCACCACTACACCTCCAGCCTCCGCCCCTGGGCAGAAAAAGCGAACTTGGTAACACCTTCTTCCCAAACAGCCCCTCTCCCTTCACGCCCCCTCCCCCCCAGACACCTTCTCCACATGTAGCACGGAGGCACCTGCCGTCGCCGCCTTTGATACCGCAGGATGTGGACCTCCCTTCTGTTGCTGGACCACCCATTCCTCCACGACAAAGCACTTCTCAACATATCCCAAAGCTTCCTCCAAAAACTTACAAAAGGGAGCACACGCACCCCTCGATGCATCGGGATGGGCCACCCTTGCTGGAGAACGCCCCCTCCTCCTGAACTGTCCCTCGCGCTGGGAGTCGCATTTTCCTGGTGCTATGTCTGTTGCTGGCAATGGATGCACTGAACCTGGTGGTGTCAAGGAGTTGGGACGTGGATGCCAAACACTAAGAACTCTCCAATGCGTTGGAAATGTCGTGTACAGAAATGGAACTGCGAAAACAGACTTTCTAGTGGAAAACCCGGTTAACTTGCTATTCTTGTTTTAGTATGCAGGACTTTGTTCTAAAGTTATTGGACAGCTGATTGTACCAGAAAACAGTCTGGAGAGACTTCTTTGGCCAATGAGCAGAGACTGTGTTTGTGTAATGATCAATAATGTCCAGTACAGGAAGGAAAAACAGTCTTGTATCCATCAGTTCCATACAGTGGCACAGTTTTCGGAATGAAAACATTATGCACTTTTTTTAAATCTCAAACAGGGAACTTTATATCCTTCTTAATTTTCCTTTGCTTTACTTACTCCCTGCTTTAAAATACCTTCCTAAAATTATGAGAAGGACTGTGAGGAAGATCTGTGGTACCTAACCGAGCTAGAATTAAGGCAAAGCACTGTATTGCGGTCCTGTTTACAAGTTGTTACAATGAGTAGTAGGGGGTACCTAGGCTTCACCAAAGAGGTACTTTATTATTATTTTCTGAAATACTGTGGTGCCAGTTCAAAAATAAATTTTTGCCAGGAAGCATAATGTCTAATTATTGCTTTCTTTAGATAGAGCTGATGAAAGTCTTACATCATTAAGGTGACAGCAAATTTTTTTTTTAAAAGCAGCACTATCATCTGAAGCAAATATACTACATTTAGAAGACTGTTAATCTCTGCTAGGTTATGTCATGTTCTTTTTAAGGTTTACTGATAATCCATTTCATGGCTAGTAGCTATTCTTTTTCAGTCATGCCATGAAAACAGTCACTTGTCAACTTCCATAGCTATTGTCATGTTTTACTAACAATAGATTAATCAGCATACATAGGATTGCCTTGCAGTTGCATAAATCGTGTGTATATAGTGAATGTTGCATAAATATACTTGCAGATTGTTTTTAATTTAATTGAAATAAAGATAAAGATATGTTTGGCTGACATACGTTAAATTATTAATGGACAAATGTTCAACTTAGTTTTTCAGTTAAGCACTGAGGGGGATAAAAGCCCATCTTGTGGTACGTATTTTTCCTAATTCAGTGTATGTATTTTAGTAATGAGAGACTAAAGAGGTGTTTCTGGCATGTTACAAATAATAATTCAGTAATATTTTGAGAGGCTGGGTTACTCCCAAAGTGAATTATTATACCTTATGAAATGTTTCCCACGTCCTGTATGACACGTTAGAAAAATCAAACTTCTATTAGTCTTTACAGTGGCTTTTTCTGTCCAAAACACACATGACAGAACAGGTATGCTGTAAGTATTCTGACATGGTTTATCCATAAATCTGCATGCTGCTCTTCGACTCCAGACCAGACTGGGACAGTAATGGATGGCAGTTGTTGAAGAAAAGGAGCTCTGTAATGTCCTACAGTAGGTATGTGAAGCATCAAGTGTCTCATCTTCAGTTCACAGGGCTCATGGAGCAAGTAAAATTCCCTCACATATCCTCTTTGGAAGAAGAACACATCTCAGGATCTTGGAAAGCTGAGTCTCTTACAGATAGTGTCAGTTGAATGATGCCAGAAATTTCCTTTTTTAATGCTGTCAGCAGTGCCATTGATCAGGCCCTTTGGTCCTTTGGTGTGGTTCATTACACTGGGAAAGCATTTCATCAACAGGAATGGCAGTTTTCACCAAAGTCAGATCTTGAAATTGTCAGTTGTATTCCTTCTTAGATGTCTTTAATGATGTTGTTTTGAAACATTTTTTTTTTTCTGGCAAAAGAAAAACGGAAGATCTCAAAACCTTGGCTTCAGAAAACAACATTATATGGGAGCTTTATAAAAACTGTCCAGCCTCAGGAGGTGTAGTCTGGGTTATGGATTCTTTGGATAAAAACACTATGATGAGCATACTGTTGGCAGTGTTACCTAAATTATTAGTTCCTCAGTGGGTTACCAGGAAAACTCCAAAATTTGAGACTTTCTGGTCTGTATTTCTTCTTCAGCACATTTTTGTCTGTGCTGCTGTGCAGAGCAGGCAGGCCACCCAGTGGTCAGGGTGCTCAGTCAGGAGGGTTTCTTGCATGGCTCCCACTAATCAGCAGATTTCTTAAATGTCAGTAGGTTTCTGCTTTCCTTTGTGAAATGGGGGATGCTGCTCCCTGTTTGTGGTGGAGGATAAAAGTGCTTTCCTGGTGAGATACTTGGACAACAGGTGACAATGGCCATCATGCCCTAAAGTAAACATTCTTTGGAGCCCAGGGGTCAGTCACAGTGCACAAATCATGGTGTTGACTCAGCTGCAAACAGGAAGGACAGGGTCAGAATCAAACCTGTAGCATTTAGGAGTTGACTACAACTGCTAAGTCACTGGTTTGTGTCATGGCAGCTGTGTGTTAATAATTTCTGATCTGAGCGGCTTCTTGGATCATGTTTGCATTAGTGACAATACTTTTCACATAAAAATGAAACTATTTTAATTATGTTCTTTGTCTCCTTGGTAAAATAACCCTGATTTGGTCTGGTGTGGAGGCCTGGAGAGTTGCTGTATTACTGTAGAGAGCTGATATATGGCTAAAAGTCAGCCAGAACCACTCACTGCAAGCTATGTAGGCAGGGTTATGTAGCAGAACTGCATGGGTTTATAAGAAAGTTGGGGACAACCTTTTTTTGGCAGGGCCTCTTGCAATAGGACAGAGAGTAATGGCTTTAAATTAAAGGGGGGTAGATTTAGACAAAGTATGAGGAAGTTTTTTACAGTGGGTGTGGTGAACCACTGGAACAGGTAGCCCAGAGGTGGAAGATGCCCCATCCCTGGCAACATTCAGGATCAGGCTGGGAGAGCTCTCAGCAGCCAGCTTTATCTAGGTGAAGATGTCCATGCTCATTGCAGGGGGTTGGACTAGATGGTCTTTTAAGGTTCTTTTCCAGCCCAGACTGTTCCATGATTCTGTGGTGATTTGCAGGTGCTGAGCATTTACCTCTGTCCAGCTGCTGTGTGGGAAACCACTGTTGTGCTGCCTGGTGATCCCATGGTGACACGTTATTGTCGTGGCATTCAGCAGCCCCTGCAGCAAACTTGTCTAATGGGGAATGTCGTCCTCCTTCAGGGGGACATGGAAGCACCCCTGGAGTGCTCCATCCTCAAGAAGCCATTTCCAGTGTGGGCTAACCTTCTGCTCTAATATATGCCTCTCTTAAATCAGGGAGGGAGAGGTCTGTCTCAGTAAGAGCAGGCTAATACACTGGATTTTAGATCCTTCATGTTTCAGAGTGACATCATGGGATTATTTATATTTTTTCTTTCTTGTGTGCTTTAAGTTAGATTTTCCCAGTGATATCACTGGAGGTACCACTGTTGAACATAGTAGATTATTTTGCTTCATTGAATTATCATTTCTAAATCCATACAGTGCATAGGTGAAGGCTTTCTTTGGGAGACAAACCTGTGGCCTGATACAGGTGTAAAGACAAAAATGCTCTTAACTTATTCTGTAAATCCCATTCCTTATTTTCTATTTAAAAAAAAACAAACCGCCCTTAAATACATTTTTCTGCACACTGAGAGCAAATTTACTTTCTGTATTCAGTGGAAAATAGTGCATTATGAGGGAAATGAAGTAAAGAGTAAGGGGTTTTTTCTTATTTTCTAGCCAGCAAGTGTGAAATCCTGTACTGGGTGGCTGAAAAGTTGAAAGGGAGAAATAAAATAAAAACCCTTTTGCCAGATGTATGACAATTTAGCTGCCAAATGTGGAGAACATATGTAATATTTTTAAAAAGAAGGTAACCAAAGGTAGGTGATCAAGGGCACATGTTATTGGAATTGCTTTGGACAAGCTTGTTGCATCTGTTTCAGAGTAAACCTTTTTTTGTTTTGAGTCTAGGATGGCTGACTTAAACAGGGAGTGTAGCTATGGAGAGGTGTGGTCTAGAGGAGTCTTAAGGAGATGAAGATGTGTCACAGTGAGCTACACCAACAACAGGATCTTGACTAGAAGCCTTGAGAGTGAATCAGCTGGGTTCTGAATAAGAGCCTTAGAACTTTGTGTAGGGAACAGTTTGCTTGCATGGCTGGACTTGCAGGGATAGAGGATTGTGTAAGTAATGCTGCCTCAGAAAGGGACCAGAGAAACACCTTAATGGATGCACCCTTCTGGCTGATTCAGTGCAAGAGGCAACAGCAGTATTTAAAGGCAAAGTTTATTTGGCAAAGGAAAAAAAAAATAATCCAGAGCACACATGTACACTAAAGATGGATTTGAAGTGGACCTTGTGACAGGTTGTGTGTGTGTGGTGCTGAGCATCATTCATTCATACTATTTACATTTGCAGCAGGTATAAGGACATCTCAAGTGGTAAGTATAGGCCTAGAAGTAAGAACTCATAGAGAATCAAAAAGAAATAACCATCAGTTCTGACTGTGCCTTAAATCACTAAAATAGAAGCTGAAATCCATATGCATTTTACAAGCAAGGGTCTGCCACTTTGGAAGGATTTCCTCACCCAGGAGATGTTAGCAGGTAGGGTTTTTTCCTTTGTCCTGTTTCTGTCCTGGTATTTTGCTTGGCAAATATGAAAAGCAGGTTTGTTTTGTGAGATTAAAGTGTCATTACATACTTGAGACCACAAAAATCAGAGCCCTTGACAGCATCAGTGCATTACAATGGACACTTGTCCATAGTGATACAGTTCTGATTCCATGGACAAACAAGCAGTTCTGTCTGTGGCTGATTCCTGTGCAGAACGAACAGGCTTTGCTGATGCTTCAGTTACAAGTATCTGGCTCTTCCTGCACAATTTCTATCCTGGCCCTGCACAATCAGACTAAAAGCTGCCAACTCTTAGGAACTGTCTTTGTGAATCAGTGCTGGTCAGCATGAAGCAGTCCTGACTGGAAAGGAACATGGAATTTGTAGTTTTATGAGGATGTGAGGGAAAGGGAAGGAGATGGAAGGGGATTTTTTTTGCCATTAAAAGCCTTACATTAAAAAAAAAAATCTTCCCAGAGTAGTTTCCAAAAGCTATGGGAGGAAAGTAGGGTACTTCTTTCCTTTTTGTAAGGAGGAGAAGTGGATATTTGTTTCATTAAAATCTATGAGAGAGTGACCAGCTAAAACATTTTAATCTTTGGGGTTTTGCTTGGTCACATTCTTGAAATGTTGGGAAAACCTTGATTGCAGTAAAGGTTGGGTTTTGTCTGTCTGGATAGCCCTTTTCACACACACCCCTCTGCCTCCAGCAGAGGAGGAAAAGCAGGTGGTAGGTGCAGGTCAGTCAGCACTGGAGAGCTCTGGGCCCTGCATCTGCAGCAGGTATTGGCCACTGCATCCACGGACACCTGCTCTGGGCTCCCTGTGCTGCTGCCACAGCCAGGAGAGCCCTGCAGCATGGTGGGTGCTCTTCTCTTGGCCCCAAAACCGACCACCCTTGCGCTGATGCGGGGAGTCCCAAGCCCCCAGTCTCACAGGATTTCCCCCAAGGCATTGCTGTTGGCCCCATGGAGACAATTCACAACTTTTTCAGGTGAAGCTGTCCTTTGGACAGACCGGAGTCCCAGGTGTGTCAAAGCAAGCTGATAAAACCACAGGTGCTCTTGAAACTGCCCTCAGAAGGTCCCAGCTTCGGGTGACACCAGAGCTCACCAGGACTGCACTGTAACCCACTGAGCCCGTGGTGCTCTCGCTGCTGGTGTGTGACACAGGTGTCACAGCACAGCCTTCTGCAGAGATCAGGAGCTGAGGGTTTGTCACATCCAGGTGTGAGGAGGGTGGCCTGTGCCTGGCCTCGTTGATCTGTCCTTGCACAAGAAGGAGGGCTATGGCTCTGAACATGGTGCACCATCAACTTTCCTGCCCTAGTGCCTCAATTTTTAGCTGGAGGAACCTTTCCAAAGCTGCACATGATGGTGTCAGGCCAAAGAGTGAGCAAAGTGTATTCCAGGTGTGTTACAGACCAGGAGCCAGGACACTGTTTGGCACCACCAGTGTCTGCACTGATCCACACTGGGGATAAGGTGGAGAAGAGTCTCTTGTGGCAGGCCCTGGGCCCAGCCTGCCTGGAGACACGGGTCATTCTGAGAGCAGAAGCAGTGATTCCCAGAGCAGGACACAATTCAGGAAAACAGCATTCACATAAAAGGTGAAGTAGGATTTTGATGAGTGATGGAAGTCCAAAAGAAAGGATGTTGCTGATTAGGCAGTGCAATGCTCAGGTGCTTCAGCTGATGCTTCTTAGACCTTCTCAAACCGCCTGGGTAATGCGAGCTGGCCTCCTGGAATGCATCTTTGATGGTAGGGTTTTTTGGAAAGTAGAGGAAAGAAGGGAATTTTAGACTTCTGGCCAGGATGCCAGGGTTGCAAAGGTAACCTTTCTGTTGTGGTTGAGGCCAGATAAGACCTGCCTTGAGTTGGGAAGAGCAAAGATGTACAGCAAATCAAGCAGTTTTGGGGGATGAGGGGGAGGAGAAGATATAAGGGTTCGGCCAAAGCTTTCCAAAACTGAGGGAAGTTCAGTCAGGTAGAGATGAAAGCTAGCAAGTTCCTGTGCTTATTGGACCTGCTGGTTGTGCTCCACTGCAACCCAAAGCCTGGCCCTGCCCTGTGCTAGGAAGAGCAGGATGCATTCGTAAGGCAGTTGTGAGAGTCTCCTCTCCCCCACCCTCCACCCTCTGTGTTAGCCAGGGGGATCCTGGGGCCTTGCTGTCTGTCTCCACCCCCGGGGACCTGGGGAAGCACTGCTGTGCTTTGGCTGTGGCCTGCCTCTCTTGGGGCTGCTTATTTCTTTTTGAAGAGCTTGCGGAAGGAGCTCCGGAACCCCCCCTTGGGCTCGTGCCGCGGGTTGTGGTCGCTGAAGGATGTTTGCTCATTGTCATCCTTCTGGCAGAACCTGGTGTTGTCTTCTGCATGGAGCTCCTAAAAGGGAAAAGACAATTTAACCAGCATTTGCAACCTCACATTCTTGTTCCCTTCTCTCTCTATTTCTCTCTTTCTGTGCTAGGAGGGACCTGGTGGGTGAGGAGGTGCTGATAAGGCTGGGAAGAAACACTGGTACCTCTGCAGAGAGCTTGTTGCTGGCTTTAAGACTGAGGCAGGGACAGAGGAATAAAAGGATAAGCACTGTTAGAGGAAACTGGAGCCTTTCTTGCTAAGCTTTTTGTTTAGGGGAAGCTCATTAGCTTCTTTTGCCAGTGAGGGAGCAAGCCAGCTTGAGCAGTTGGAAGAACTTCCCACCCTCTCCTTTCTCCCCTAGAGCAGGGAGGCATCAGGCTTTGGAGCAGTGATGAAATGTGAAAAACTCTTCTACTGGCTCTGCTGCTGCATGGTTTCATATCTCTGGGGCAAAAGGCTTCATTAGCACACGCACCTTGTGGTAAATGTGCCACTAAAAGACCCGTCCCTCTTTTGGGAGAGTGCCAAGCTCCTCTCAGCAAGACTCTGGACAAGACCCTTTTCTCCAATTCTGCCCACCACTGCCATGGTGATTTCCTTTGCACTGGGGTGAGAACATGTCCTGCAGTTCTGGAGGAACTGCCCACAGCCTCCACATCTGCACCCTACTGTGGGCCTCAGTTCTGTGCAGGTGAGTGCCAAAGAGCTCGTTGTCCCTTTCCCTGGGGTGCCTGTGTCCCCATGGCTCTTCCCTCTGCCTCATCTCCCCTCTTCAACCTTCTACCACCTCCTTCACTCACTAGGCTTTGCTTTTTTTGGTTTTTTTCTTTTCTTTTGAAGTTTCCTTGCTGCCTTTTCAGTCAGGCTGTTGGAACCTATCTCCCATCATCATCTGCATCTAAGCACCTCAGAGCACCCTTGGCCTCCTCTTCCTTGGCTGTGACAGCCCAAAGCTGACTCTGAACGGTCACTGCAAGCTACAGAAACATTGCTCCTGCAGGACCTGGTGTCCCTGAAGGGTTACAGAGCTCTTTGCCATGTCCCACCTGAGGGACACAGTTGTGGGCTCTGACTGTTCTCACAGAGTTTGGCATAGGTCTGTACAATCCTGGCAACAAATACAGGTGAAACAAAACCTATGGACCAGATCCCTGCTGGTGTAAATGGGCTGAGCTTGGCCAAGTCATGCTGGTTTACACTGGCAGGACTTATCCAGCACTTACCCAGCACTCACAGCAGGTGGAAAGGCACCTGTTTAACTGGGTGCCAATCACAGCACTAATTTTGAACAGCTTTGTGTAAACTTCGTGACCTGCTCAGAACATTCACCTTGGGGGGGGAAGCTCAGTGACAGTGGAGACACACAAGAGGCTACCTTGTCTCAAAGGTGTTCTAGCTGAGCCAGCTGTGCACCTCAACCCATGCTTTTCCCAGGGGAAGATGTGTGTGAAAACGAGCAGTTGAGGTCTTGAAATGTGTGGGCTTGAAAGCTGTTTTGGCATGTTCTACTCTAACTGTATCTCACATCTTTCTCCTGCTGCTGCTCCTGCTGCACCACCACGTGCCTCTTTTTTTTCCTCCTGCTATTTAAGCCTCCTTACTTCCAAAAAGCTCGGTTTTTCACCCGCTCCTCTCTGTGGGGGGAAGTAGCTCCTTTGGGAGCTTCGGGATGAGGCTGAGATCATGTGAGGCTGAACATTCCTGTCCTGCTTCTGCTGCAGACGGCTCCCACTGCTGCTCCGTGTGCTGTAGAGTCTGGTGCTCACGCCCTCGGCGCTGCGTGGCAGCTCCTTCAGGGACCTGCTCAGCTGCTTCCCTTTGCTGTGGAACATCTCACGCTTGTAGGTGCTGCTGCTCACGGGAGTGCAGCTCTTAGGCAGGGGCTGCAAGGCATGGTCTGTCCTCTCCGGTTCTGAGGTGAAGTTCACAGGCCTAAGGAAGCAAATATCCAAGCTGGACTCGGAAGAGGCCGGGGAGCAGTTCTCAAAGAGAGCAAGGTTTTGGAAGGTGTCATCTTCGTAGGGGCCTGGCATGGTGAAAACCTCCCCAGGGTAGTCAAACTCTTCGTAGCTTGGTGCAAAGTTCCTGGCATCCTGCAGCAGCTCCACGGAGGTTCTGATGGCTCTCTCAGTGTTCCCTACCGCGTCAGCCGGCGGTGCTTCGTACTCCATTTCGGGGATGGATTGCAAGGGGGCTGTCAAGGCCTTGAGTTCCTGCTCTGTCAGCTGAGAGGAGGCAAGGATGTTCTCTGGCCTCTCATGTTTTCTGCTTTCCATCTCCCAGTCAGGGGGTTTTACAGCCTGGATGTTCTCCATCACTGTCGGCTGTGGTTTCTTCATCTGCGGCATCAAATGCCTTAGAAATAAAAACCAAAGCAAAACAAAAAACAGACAGAAGTGGAATACTAAAGGATGACAGAGACAGCATGACAAATTCCCCCCACCCCTTCACTCCCCCAGCCCTTTTGTGTTGGTTTTATGGCCAAAAAGTACTCTTCTGTCTTGGAGAACAGTAACAGAGGTGTCTCTTACAGAAATGGCCTGGCTGGTTAGGAGGACCAAACTTGGAGAGACAGAACTGCTTATCCAGTAGCTCTGTCTAACTTTTGTACTTTACAACATGAAATGAATAGAAACTGAGATGAGAAGCCAACTGCTCCATCTCTCTCCTGCTCATCTGCATTTTAGATTCTAAATTTCCTTCTCTTTCTGTAATGTAGGAGCTGTGCCTCACTTTCCTGTGGTCTGGTTGTCTTTTCAGGTGGACTGGGTTTCTCTCTTGGGTAAGGTGACTCTGTCCCCAAAATGTGTCAGGAGTACTTGGAGGGCTCCTACCCTCCATGTATTCCAGCTGAGTCTTCAGCTCAGGAGGAATGTGGGGTGGAGGAGCTGAGGCTGCCAAGGTGGAGGCCTGGAGCAATCTGTCTGTGAGAGGAGGGAGATTGGCTTGGGCAGTCTGGGGAGAAGGAGGCTAAGGACTGATCTGTAACACTGCTAACAGAGGGGGACTGGGAATGATGCAGCCAAACTCCTGTTAGTATCAAATGAGATAAGAAAGCACAATAGCCACAAGTTGCTGGCATAACAATAAAGGTAAGTCTAGAGTGCTTCTCTGATCATCATCTCATTTGGCACCTGTCAGGCTGGAAATGGCCAAAGGGGAACCATATGAGGAGTGGCTGAGGGCACTAGGTCTGTTCAGCCTGGAGAGACTGAGGAGAGAACTCACTGCAGTTTGCAGCTTCCTCATGAGGGACAGCACAGGGGCAGGCACTGATCTCTTCTCTCTGGTGACCAGTGACAGGACCTGAGGGAGTAGCTTGGAGTTGTGTCAGGGGAGGTTTAGGTTGGATATTAGGAAAAGTTTCTTCACCGAGGGGGTAGTTGGGCACTGAACAGGCTCCCCAGGGCAGTGGTACAGCACCAGCCTGACAGGGTTCAAGAGGTGTTTGCACAAAGCTCTCAGGCACTGTGTGACTCTTGAGGATGGTTCTATGCAGGGTCAGGAGTTGGACTCAATGGTCCTTGTCCTTTCCAACTCAGAATATTTTGTGATTCTGTGGAGATTGTCTTGACTTAGTCTTGTGTCTTTTTGAGCCCATTTCGTACTTACATCTTGTGATAGCGAATTACATCATTCAGTTATGTGCTCTGTGGAAAAGTATTTTTTTTCCCTGCTCTGAGACCTTGGTCTTGTTTCCCAGCTCTTGTAATGCTGACAGTGAATACTGCAGAGTGTTATTGTGCACACCACTGTCAGGCCTAAACCAGTTCACATCCTCCCTGACTTACTGCCTTAGCAGGCAGCCCTGGCTAGAGCTCTGAAACATCCCCTGCTTGTAAACCACACAGTAGGGGATAGCACGATGGAGCCAGCCCTTCATCTCTCTATCCATAGACTGGGAGTGGTTTTGGAAATTACAGCCTGTGGCTGCCTGGTGTCACTGGCATGACGTGGGTGAGGAGAGAATTTTCAGCCTACTTTGAAAGCTGCCCACAAGGACAACAAGCTTACGGGGTGGTTGTGCCAGAGGAAGGTGCTGCTGGGAATGACTGGATGGCCTCTTCAGTGTGGATGCCACTGTCCCGCATTGATGCTGCACTGGGTGTTGGAGAAACCTCCTGGCTTGTGCACTGGGAGGTGAGACCTTTGTACAGCTTCACCAGGGATGACCTGAGGGAGGAGAAATCCATCGTCGGGCTAAGAAATAAGGCAGGGAATGAGCACGAGCGTGTAGAATCACAGAAAACAGGACTGGGAGGGACCTTAATACTCCTGTTCAACTCTGCCCACCCCAAGGAAGAGCCTGTTCCACCTAGTCTGCTCCAGCCAGCAGGGCATCCTGCTTTCTGTGGTGTTCTTAGCACCTCTCCTGATTGCAGTCCCTCCCCAGCAATCTGCCCTTTACCACCCTCCATACTTGGAAGATTCCCTTGAAATTTGATCTTGTTCTACTCCTCAGGTAAATCATCACAAAGAGCAAAGACAACCAGATTCTGATTTTAGTAAAAAGTCTTGATTTCAAGGAATTGTTCTGAACTACAACTTGAGAATTTACATTCAAGTTAATTTCCATCACAGTTAAACAGGTTATGGGAGACTTTTATTTCTCCTACCTCCTCCCCCAGTAAAATAAAATAATGCCATTCTTTTGGAGTCTCAGTCCATAAGGGAAACAGTCCTCACCCTCACCAGGGCCTGGAGCTGCCAGAGCTAAATCTCCATGTGTTTTCCCACTGGGGAGTGACTTTGTCACCAACTTAAGGAATCAAATGATTCCATGAAACATGTGGCTGCTTTATTTAGAAGGACTTAGAAGTGATTTTTCTTTCACTTTCAGAATTAGACAGAAGGGCCCACCCCAAGTCTGACCTCAGTTTGGAGGTCAAATACCAATAGTGGTTCTTCTCCAGCATTTGGAAGCAAAGGGCTTTGTTTTATTTCAACAGAGCAATGTGCCTGTTGATCTAGCCTGGACCTAAACCCCTTGTTTGCCAGGCTTCCCCCACCCCTCCTTTCCCTGGTGACAGAGACAATGAGTAGATGTTGTGCTTACTTCTTCAGCTTTTTCCTCTTCTGTATCAACAGGTCTTCATTGCACTGGAAGAGGAGGCTGTAGTGTGAGATGAAAACGCGGAGGCGCTGCACGCACACCAGCAGCAGGTAATAGTCAGGGTGCTCTTGCTCCGTGAACTTCAGGACATTCTGGGGCACAGAGGAGAGCAGGCTGTTGGGAGGCTGTCCTGACCCTTTCTGGGGAGAAGGCACTGTTGGAACCATGGATTAGGGCTCTGGAGTGCTCATGGCAGTGCCCTGGGGGAGCTTTGCTAGGCACCATGAGTTTCTGAGGGATTTGGATGGGGCCTGCCTCCCACTAGCCCAGTGCAATTGCACAAGGAACCACTGTAAATGTAATCACAGGATAGGTGGGTGATGCACTGATGTTTTGATTTTCTAGGGGTTGCTTTCTGTGTATTCGCCTTATCTGAAATGTTTCAGTACAATTCAGATAAGCCTTCTGTGAACCAGAACTCTTTTTATCAGCCATCTCTCTGTAGGACAGGTTGTTGGGCCCTAGGAGCCCTCTCAGATGTATCCCATCTCTGACCTCCTGTTTTCCCAGAGCAGCAGACAACAGAGCCTTTGGCTTCCCAGGGGACAAAAGCTGCTTCTGTCAGGCCAATTGGAGAAACTGGCAAATATAAGCAAACCTCACGTGAAAAAGATGAAACTTAACCTATTGTTAGCTGGCTTTCCCTTTAAAAGTTTTTTTTTTCTTCGAAGAACCCACTGGGTTTGTCAGGATCCTGTTCCTGTGCAGGATCCTGACAAATACCAGCTCTGAGTCAAAAGTCACCTGATGTCATTAGAGTTCAACAGCACAGTTTCCATGCTGGGGCCCTACCTGTAGATGAATAAGGTATTCAGGGATTCGCTGGACTATATGAAAGAACAGAATGTAGAGATCAGACTTGATTTCTTCTTCTACCTGAAATAGAGAAAGTGACTTAAGAGTCTTTCCCACCCATAAAACACATCTCCTTCCAGATGGTTCTGTGGTTTAATGAGTAGTTGTGCTGTAAGGAGTTATAAACAGTTCACAGGGGCACACCAGGCATTTAGGTTGGGGATTATCTACCAGGGACACTCAGCCTAATAAAGTAGGGAGGCACACTGAAACTGCACTAGTTAAGTTTCAGTGAAACTCCAAGAAGACACTGTTGCTCAGAATGAAGTTCTTAGTTTAGGCTCAAATTAATTGAACAAAATGAGATTGACTTCTAAATTAAAATATATTGGATGCAAGCAAATAGGTTACTGCACTTTAAACTACCTTTATATTTAACTTTCTAAGTTTAAACCAAGAATCCAGACCCAAACAGATGAAGCTGAAAGTCAAGACTCTTTTCTCTCTAAAGGACTCAATTCCTCTGTTTGGGTGAGTCCTCCATTTTCCAGGAGACAGTTCCTGGAAAAGATCTGGATAGCATGTTCATAGGCAAGCTTTTGGGAGGTTTAATCTGAGACATTGTTTCCTGGCACAGCAGAAAAGCTGCTTTGGTTTCAGACAGTGAGGAAGGTGTCAGAGCTGCCTTTTGTAGGTGCCAGTCAGCCACGGCAACCTCCAGGAAACAGAACAAGTGGATTGGCAGGAGAGTCCTATCATGGGCAGGCATAACAGGAGAGATCCAGGCTTGCATGTTGCCATTACGTGCTGGGAAGCAGACAGGAAGTTTACCTCCTTCAGGATCACCACGTGGATCAGAGAGATGCATTCTGGCAGGTCCCTCAGGTAAGCAACGTAGTAGTCCAGAAAATTATTCTTAGAAAAGAGAAAAGAAAAGAACACCCAAACTTAACAGAGATTTTTGGTCACAGAGCTAGCCAACCAGTTAATTCCCCACCATCACTGCTGGAAGGTCACCAGTGCAGCAGAGCTGCTGTTTCACTCCTTCAGGGCTTGGAACTTCTCAGGAAAGTCTGTTTTATAAAATGTGTTCAGCTGTTGAGCACAGTGTGTAAAGCTTTACTGCAGGTGGGGAGGGGTAGAGAGGCTGGGCAGTAAAAAGCTCTTCTTATCTAAGATTGTTAAAACTTATAAAGTATCAGATGAGTTTTTACATGTCCCTGCTGCTCACCAGGGCAACAGAAGTGAGTGCAACAAACCATGTGGGCCTCTGCCTGCCCATGTGCTTGTCAGAACTCCGAGCAAGGTGTATTGGGGCAGGGGAGCATCAGAACCCCTCTCTTTTCACACCCTCACTGGAAATGCAGCCATTCAAGCTCTCAAGGCCCACCTGTGGCTCCTGCAAGCAGGTCTGGGTCTCATGTAGCTTATGGAGCTGTGCTATGGGGCTACTTGCCCGCAGGTGGGTCTGGCATGTGGGATCCCTGAACACCAGAGGGGCTGCCATGGCCCATGACTGTGCTCCAAGGGGGTTTCTGAAAGCTCTTGCCCTTCAGGCCACAGCTGCACAGCACAGCCCCTCTGTTCAAGGTGTCTTGGTCCACCTGCACCTCAATAAAATGTCATAAAACATGACAGAAGATTCTGGAGAAGTCTTCAACATACCTCATCATTTGTCAGCTTCAGGAAGATGTCTCCTAGGATCCCTTGTCGTGGCCAGCTCAGGACTCTCTCCTGGAGAGCGTGCAGTAAATCCACGTGCTGCTGCACCAGGAACCGCAAAGAGTTGGGGAAAAAGCTGATGGGAGACCAAGCCAGACTGGTTACACAGAGCACAACCTCATCCCTAATAAGTGAAATCTGCTGAGGTGGGCATTCCTGAATGGTCAGCCCAGCCTTGCACATGTAATATTGACTGCACTATTATTGCTACAATGGCACAGGTGTCACTGACTCCTGTAGCTGGAACCCTGGCTGCATTGGGGGGTCCTGTTTTGGCTGCTGTGTACATGCAAGTACCCTCTCCAGCTGGCCATTTTTGGAAGTGTTTTGAAAGCTCCTTAGGCTTTCCTTGCAATGCCTTGAGTAGCTGACCAGAATTGGCAGCACTAAAAAGCCCCTGGCAATGCTGCAGTGGCTGATCATGCAGGACTATGGCCCTGAGCCATCCCACTGAGAGCTTGGAGGAGAGCTCCCCAGCTTTCTGTCTTTTCCCATTTGTCAGGCCCTTTCACAAGACAACCCCCTGGTGCAGAGCTGGTCAAAATGTGCTACTGCCTTTCTGCCACTTCACATTGATTTTACCCAGAATCAGAAAGAAGATGGTGGACAAGATGCAAGGGACAGGTAGGAATGTCTTTAATGACTGCAAAAACCTCTCAGTGCCTCCAGTTTTCAACTAAGTGTTCAAAGATCTCTGTGTGGATGTAAGAAAAGTTTGTGAGGTGATAATGCAGAAGTAATATTGACTGAAGAAAACTCCCCAAAAGACAGAGAGCACACTACATCAAATACCTTCTCTCTTTGGTGCTTCTTTTCACATCTGGCCCTTGCAGTGTGGCCTTGATCTTCAGGATGAGGGAAAGGTTGATGACGTACTTCCTTTCTGACTCCAGCAGCTCCAAGGCGATGTTCTGCCTTTTGGCTTCCAGAAGATAAGGGTTAAGTTTAAAAATAAGAAAATACTGACCTCAAGGACAGCTGCATGTTCAACTGGTGAGGGGATCATGAAAGGAGAAACTTTTTTAAAATTATATCAATGCCTCATCTTTTTCTGTGTTCTTTACCCAAAATGTAAAACTCCACCCTGATGCTACAGCATGGCCCAGCCATGACCAGTGCCTCAGTTTGCTAAGAAAACTCCAAAGCAGATGTATTTCCCCCTATAAATACAAAATTTTTCTAAGAATAACAAAACAAACAATCAAAGGCAAAACAACTCATATCAGGGTTTCCCATCCTGAAGAAACCCTGCAGAATGAGCAATTGTATTTTTCACCCACTTCAGCACCTACTCTGCTGCAATCCCCTCAGTACTCTGAATCTGACAGGTCTTGGAAAGGAGAAGGGCTGTCCTGGATAGAGTGGTTCTGTCAGTCACACAGCCCAACAAATACTCCAGAGGTCTTGGAGTGTGAGGCCCTGAGAGATTCCCCCCAGCAGCAGAAACTGGTCTGTGTGTGTCCCTCCATGGATGCTGATCACCAGCCAGCTCACACCAGCTTTGAGCCTCTCTAGCCAGAGTTTTCTACTCCTTACCAGCCAAAGAGGGTTCACATATTATGTTGTCTGCTGAGCTGTATCTGCTCTGGCCCATGTCCTTCCCTCTCTCTGGTTGCTCTTTGGAAATGTATTCATCTCCCCAGTCCTTGGTGTCCTTGGGCTGCTTCCACACTGTTGATGGCAGATGCATTTTTGACTGTCCCTCTGTTGCCAGGGAAGGCTTGAGGCTGTCATCTGTCTCTATGGCTGCTCCTGCAATGACAGACAGCTCCATGGACTCTGACATCTCAGCATCTCTCTGACAGGTTATGCTGCAGCAAGCAGCTGTGTTCCCATCCATTTGAGGCACTGGAGGGTGAATTTGGAGCATTCTTTGTGCTTCACAAGGGCTGTAGCCTTGTAGAGTTAATTTACAAAGGAAATGCATTTGGTGAGCTCTTCAGCAGAACATGGTCTGCACTCTTCCAGTGTTTATTTTCAAGCCAAATAAGATCCAAAATTAGACATATGTTAGAGAAGCAGAAACACCTTCTCCTCCCAAGTGGGAGAAGTGGTGCTCTCGCTATTCTTTGTCACATCAGGAAGCTTCAATTCTTCCTTTCTGCAAAAGCACATAGAATCTAAGAAAGCAACAGCAGAAAGGCTTTCTCTGCCAAATCCTTGGCACTGACCCCCACAGACACTTCAGGGACAAAGGTTTGCCCTCATATCTCAACTGCAAATAGGAAAATGGAGGTACAGGGCAGAGTGAAAGACATCCCTGTGAAATGCCTTCCCTGAAAGCATTTCTTCTGAGTAGTAAAGCAAGCACTCTAATTTAATCATTTTCCTGCTGTCTTGATGCTTGATATTTTATTACCTGGGCCTGCTATGACCTTCACACCTCCTTCTCCCATGGGCATGATCCTGGTGTCAGACACTGTTGAGGAACAAAGGGAACTTTAGCAACAGAAGGCAACTGTAGAGCTTGCTTCTTCCTGCCAAGCCCTGTCAGTAGGGCAAAATCCTCCAGTCTTTCACAGTTTTGCTATGAAAACACCACTGTTGAACTCTCCTGTAAGGAGGATCTTTTCTGCTGGGCTCTTGTCACAAGTCTGTGTTTCAGTAGCCCCTGCAGACAGGTAATGTGGGGTCCCTGCTGTGCTCAGTGCTGTGTGACTGCAGAGCAATGTGAGCAGTCTTGGCTTCTCCTGGCATGCAGGTGCAGGTTGGTAGAGGATACTCCACACAGAACAAAGAGGATGGAGACCTGACAAAGAGACAGGACTGATGTTTTGAGTGGAAAGGAGCTAATTGAAGAGCAGAGGGATGAGACTGGAAAGGAAGGAGCAGTGGAGAAGTGGGTGAGAAAGGTGGTTGTGCAAGAGTGATGTGAGGGAGATGGCTGACATGTCACCTCAGAGCATGGGGCAGAGAAGGGCTATGACTGACAGGTTCTGAGCAAAACAGAGTAGAAAACAGCACATGGTTTTCATCTAATCTCTGCCTTTGTTGACATTTTTAATGAATATGTTTTTATTGTCTTCCTGTCTGAACAGCAAGAGAGTGATAGACCAGCTTAGACTCCCAGACTTAATTATAGAATGAAAGGTTCTGATCCATCTCCTTTTCTTTGATTCCAACTTCCAAGTGTTTGGCAGTTGACAGTGTTTTCTTCATCAAGGTGTGATTCTCCTTCATGTTCCCTGCTCCCTCACACAGAAACAAAAATAAGATTTTTATCAAGAGCCCCCATTTGGTTCTGTACCTGTGCCACTGGCACTACAGAATGAAAATCCAGCCTATATCCCTCTCCTTGGAGGAAGCAAGAAATGGATGTTGAGACAGTGTTTGCAAAGCAAATACTTCCTGAACCCAGGTTACCCCAGTGATCTTTTTCTGATTTTTTTTCCTGAGGAAGGCACTGCATTTGCCTATTCTGTTTCCTACCTTTTTCATAAGTCACATTGTGTAAAAGACTTGTAAAATCTTCATTGATCAGCACAGGTTCTGGGAGGTTGATGGATCGGAACGGGCTGCCCTGGAGAGGTGTTGGCACTGTCTGTGATCCGTGGTCATCCTTCTGTGCTCTCCTGTACAAACACAAAGAACGAGGTGCTTGGAAAGTCTGAATGCTACAGGTGAAGCTCCTACACGACATTTGTGACCAACACTGTCAGAAATAGGACAACTCTAGCAGAGACCAGGAAAGGAGCTGGCTTTGATGGAATTGGCAGTTCATGAACAATGTTCTGGAAATAACTTCCACTGGCTACAGGAGAAGGTTATTTCAGATCTATTATTTTGCAGAGCATATTCCATCTAATTAAATAGCTTAATTAGCTGAGGGGCTAGCCTAGATTTGCAAAGTGTTTGCATCAAGGCAGCTGTATAGACTCATGATCAAAACTCTCTTTTCAGAAGAAGGCTGATTAGGACCAAGCTGGACAAGTGTCTGCTTCATCACAGCATCAGTGTGAGAACATTCCCTGACTCTGCTCAGAGGAGAAAAGGCTGGTGACAGGAAAGCAGAGCAGGACTGCACCATCAGGAGCCCATTGAGTCCTGCAAGCCTGGAAGGGGAAATTGCAGTGCTGTTGTCTGAATGGGGGAGGCTGCTGACTTTCAGCAGCCCCAGCACGTCTTTAGTGGGTCTCTGTTCCACCAGGCCCTGGTTCTCCAGGGAGCTGCTGGGGGCTGTTTTTCTGTTGGAATCACAGTGAGGTGTTAGCATTTTTCTTCTGTCTTTGCTCTGTGGGGTGTATGTCTTGGAGTCTGGGGTGAACTGAAGCATTTCTGGTCATAAACAGGGTTTTTACACACTTCCAGCCAGGAAAAAAATTAAGAAATTATGCTCTACAGAAAGGAACAAAATGGACACCACTGCTAATTAGCATTTTCAGGACCCTGGAGTTTGGGCCCTTACTTAGCTTTCATTTTCCGTGATTCCCGCCGCTTCTCTTGCTGCAGCTGCTCAATTTTCTGTTGCATTTCCTCCTGCTTGGCACTGATTTCTTCAATCATTGACTTTGCATCGCTGAGCTCCTCCTGAGAAACAGGCAAAAGCACAGCATGGCCATCAGCCCTACGTGGCACAGCTCTGACTGCTGGCTGGTGTGCACAGAAGGTGCTGCAGGGTGCTCTGGGGAGTGGCTCTGTGATTGCACTCCTCCTGTGCAAGGCCAGCATGTGTGACGTGCACAACGTGATGATCCTTAATCCTACAGGCCACTCACCCAAGGCAGTGTGGAGCCCCATGGTCAAGGCACTGGTGGGAGATGAGACTCAGGGCTTCATCCCTCACCAGCTGAAAGCATGGGGAGGACTCCTGCCCTTAATGGCATTTGGATGTGGGCCTTAGGGAGCACATTTCCCTCTGCAGTTTTCCAGCATGTGTATTCACATGCTGCACTTGGTTCAGATCCCAGTGTGAGCACTCACATGTATAAGTTTTGCCAATCAGGCCATGGATCTGCCCTTTTAGCCTGGTTTCCTAAGGAAATGAGGCCCTCCATATCTTCCCTGTCCATCCTCCCTCAAGCAGTTTCAGCCAAGCCTTATTCAGATGTAGAGCTCTGATGCATGAAGTTCCTGCAGCTTCCATGAACATGAGCAACAGGATTGAGGAGAAATACTCAAAAGTTTCCTGTAAACCAAAGGACTTCCCCCAGGCAAGGAGGTGACTTTTGTGGGAGCTCAGTGTTTGAACAGCCAACATGGGCACGAGGCAGAGGGAGAGCAGCCTTTGCCCCTTCTGTTGCTTGCATAATTCTTTGTGTCTGCATTTTAAATCCCCTTTTCCCCTATGACAATATCCTGGGTAACCCTTTGTCTGGTTGCTCTGAGACCTCTCCCATGTGCCCTTGCCCTTTGTTGTCTTCCTTGCTCATCTGGCACCGAGGACTCCTCTTGCCTGGTGCCATCTGTCTCCCTGTCACAGGGTTAGTAATGGGCTTTGTCAGTAAGCAGCCCTCTTTAGCTTCACAAGGTACTATTGACTCAGCAAACCCCCTGGGGAAAATTTGCAATAAAAACTATAAAAGAGTTCCTCTGCCTGCCTCATCATCCACTTTCTGCATGGAGACACTGGCTGGTCTAAAATGTACATCAAGCCTTCTTGCTAGGCTGTCTCTCCAGCCCTTTGTCTTTATCCTCTTGGGCCAGATCAAACCAGGCTGCACTTCCTCCCAGCCATGTGGAAATGTGACTTCAAAAGGCTTTAGGGTTTTGTGTTAATTTGCTGCTCCCCAGTGGCTTTGGTTCCTGCAGGAAATGCAGGAGACCCGACCCAAGGGACAGTGGCCCAGCAGTAGCCTGTGAGCAGGCCATGAACCCACGGTATGTGCAGCCCAGAGCAAGGGCTGCTTTGTGTCCAGCTAAGTCTCAGCATTGCCTCATGGCCAGTCAAGAAGGCTAAATGGGCCAGAGCATGGGATACTTGTGAGTTGGAGCAGTGAGGGGACACCCAAAGCCAAAGGAAGTACCCCAGGTGTATCCAAAACAATTGCTCACTCATTTTCTTTGCAAACAGGGAGCATGGATGGAGGCAGGTTAATGCTTCCCTCTGCCAGGCAAGCTCACATGGAAAGCATGTCGCCCCCCACAGGTCATACTCCTACCTTGAACGTGTTGAGGGAATTCTTCATCTCGGCCACCTTCTCTTCCATGGCACAGCGGCAGCTCTTGACCTTCTCCTCCAGGGCATACTCTCCATGCTGGATGCGTGACAGCTCCTGCATTGCTTCTGTGAAACCAGCCTTCAGCTCAGAGGCCAATGCCTGCAACTACAGCAACCACAAACGGGGGGGTTCAGTCCCTCCTCCCAGGATCAGGTGTTTGTGTCCCCAAGGGTCACAAAGGCTGAGTGTAACCCATCCTGTAAGGTGCTGTCCTCTTTCTCCTCCTCCTTTCATGGCTGGGAAACATGGGGAGAGGTTTGGCCCCTGCTGCAGCCTCGGTACAGAGTAGGAGGTGTTTGTCTTGGGCAATCAATGTGCCCTTTTTCAGACTTTTTTAAAAAACTTTTTTGAGTTTTTCCAGGCTCCCTGGCAGTTTGCAGCCTGTCAGCCTGTAGTAGGAGAGGACAGTCTGAAACATGCCAAAAGGTTTGCAATAACAGCAGCCAGATTATTAATCTCCAAAGCAGCTGAGCAATCAAGAACGTGTCCGGTTTTGAGCAAGTCCTCCTCCCACACGTGGGGCTGGAATTCTCCCCACACAGGTCTAACCCCTCGCTCTCCAAGGGCTGTGGAGAAGCTCTGTCCTTTGCCACAGGCCCTTCCCATGGAAGGAGGCAGCTCTAACTTGTGCTGGGGAGGGAACAAGAGGTTTTCCCCTGGCATACAGTGACACTGTGCCCACTCTCTCTGTTTTCTGTCCCTAGATGCCCTGTGCTCACCACCTAAGCTGGAGGCAGGCAGTGATAGCTGGGTGAAGCAGGAGATGGACTGGGGCAAGCCAGGCTGGCAGAGCAAGCAGACAAGGCAGGTGTGGAGGTGGGCAGTGAGGGGGATCAGCGGCTGGCACAGAGCTAAGCAGGGAATTCCCTCTTGGGAGCAGCTGGGGCTGGTGAGCCTGACTCTGCCCCAGTGCTGTGAGCGAGGCTCGTGCTGCCTGCACAAAGCCCTCAGCGAGGTCGCGGCCCAAGGCACTTCGGCACAGAGGTTTTTACCTTTACAACAGAAATGCGGCCTAACATCTGGTTATAAACTGAGTCCAAAACGGGAGCACTGCTGGTAAGCGGAGAGCCACCCCGGGAACTCAGGCGCTTGAGTCCTGCAAATGGAGCAGAGATGGCTTCCGATACCTCGGGGCACTGGCACGCACCAGCCTCCTCTGGTCAAGGCTGGCAGTGTCTTTCCAGAGGATGTCTGCCTGCCATCCCCAGCACTCACCCCACAGCCCCCACTCTGAGCTGCCTGGACACACATTTCCAGAGTGCCTGGGTAGGAGGAGCTAGACTGACAGGAACCACAGGCACTGGGACCATGCAGAGGGGAGCAGGAGGCTGAGGACATCTTCCTTCATCAGGATGAAACCCTGAATCCCCAGGCCAGCTGGAGCTCCAGACTCCTTGGCTGAACATTTTCCCCCTCCCCTCCTGGCCACAGTGTCAACCTGTGACCTGTGCATGTAGTCTGAAAGGTCAGAGGGGCTGCTTAGGGCAGACAATGACCACACTGCTTCTGATATCTCAGCCCAGATGGTCGTGGCATCATCAGACATCCTAACATATGTGCCTGGAGAAGGGGGAGGGAGGGAGGGAGGGAGGGTTATAAAGTACTGTGACTGTGCAAAATGTTAATATTCCCATCCCTGCTCGCAGGTGCTTAAGGACAGACTTTCCCCCTGAGCTGACCTGGCCAAGGCACAGTCTGTCTGCCAGCCTGCATCAGGGCTGGGCATCACACACTGCCCTCCAAGTGACAAGGGTTCATTTGCAAGATCTGTCCCTTCCAACTGGAATATCTATCCCATTCTAACCTATGCTATCCATTTTAGAGGTCTGCTTCAGGATGGAGGTATCACAGCCCCAAGTCTTGCTAGCAGTGGAGCAGTCCTGGAGCTGGCCCTGGAGATAACATGGTCTGGGGAGAATAAGCTGAGAATGAAATATTTCTGCCCACAAGCCTGGCCATCTCCTTTTCAGATGCTTCCAGAAAGGGGGTAAACTACACAGATCCTTTGAAGGGTATAGGGGTGGGAATCATTGCTGATCTTGAGGTTTCAGAGTAAGAAAAGCTGCAAAGCATCAGCAAAAGTGGACCACTGCAGAGAATTTGGTGTCCATGTGCACTGAAACACTCTATGAAAGCAGAGTTCAGCCAACATAAGGAAAGACTTGGATTAGAGCCTGGATGAAATATCCTCTGCATCTGAGAGCAGACAGTGACCTGTTATTTTGGTATTTGCTTTTGGCCAATCTCTGCTTTTGTGGTGACAGTGCTAGCTTAGTTTCTTTGTGTGTCCATCTCAGTGCTCCAGAGCCCAGCCTGAGTCTGTCCTGCCCCATATATCCTTCCTCAGCCCCATGCAGCTTGCAGTGACTGTTTCAGACACTGAAATGCATCCTTTTGTTGCTGCTTGAGGGATGAATGCAGCCAGAAACACCAACCAGCCACAGAGCTTGTCTGATGGAACAAGAAGTGCTGAAACCCTGAGCAGGTCAGGGTTAGCATAGAGGGAAATACATTCTTGTTGCATTGGATGCAGAGTTATCCAAAATCAAATGAAGTGATACAGGAACAGCACATTATCTTTAAACTCTTGCCAAGCATGGTGTAGCTATGGATTTTAGTTAGAGCTCATTTCTAAAAGCAAGGTGTAGAAAACCATCCTTTAATCCCATAAGCTGTTAAAACAGATGGAAGCCACTGAGGTATCAGGCCCTGCTGATGTCTGGGCCAAGTGACAGGGCTCTGTCTCCACAGGGATGGCCTATGCCTACAGGACCAGAGAGGTACTTCACAGCTTTGTGACCCTCTGGAAAATCAAGCCAACTCTGTGTTTCCAAAGTTTCTAAGTGCAACACATACCAAAAAAGACAGATTGTGTAATACAGCAACAGTTAAACCATAATGTGTTGCCCTGGCTCACTTATTCATGGGACTAAAGATGTAATTTAACATTTAAGTTGTGGAATTTAAGAAACAATAACTTAAATTGAACTAATGCCTAGAGGATAAATGAATCTGCACAGTCACAGGGAGTCCTTCAAACCTGTCCAACAACTGTTCAAAAAAGGCATTTAGGCATCTAAATAATTTAGTACCAGGTACAGACTTCATCTGCCTTTGGACTGTGGCCCTCAAACCTGACAAAGCAGAGCAGTGAGGTATCCAGTGCCTTGTGTTTGTAGGTATGTCTTTCTTGGGCCCCATGACTCCTATTTCACCTGCTGCCCTGATGATTTTCAGCTCTGTGTGGAAAAGCCATGCTGTTCACAAAGGCTGTGCACAGGACTGATGCTGCGTCCTGGAGCCGAGGCAGCAAAACTGCAGAGTCTCCCCTCTCTCTCTTGGTGGGTGCCAGCAATTTGAGACATTTGTAAAAGATAACAACAGTCCTTGCAGCCTAAAGATTTGGTCAGGCTTTGAGGCAGCCCAGGGAGGATGGTACTGCACAGCAGATGGGGATGGTTTATGGAAGGAGGGAGTGGGATGGAAAGAGGGCAGCAGAGCCTTGGTGAGCTGGGTCACTGTCCTGGCTGCCACTGAAGGGATGAGAGGGAGCCCTGCCTTCTCTGAGTAGCTGTGTCCCCACAGGTTCCCCCAGCACTGGCCAGGCTGTCCAGGGCCCTGTCTCCACAGGGATGGCCATTTGCACCTGCACCTGTGGCAGCTGCCTCAGTCCTACACTAGAACAGCACCTGCTGTCTGGGACCTTGAGCTGGAGCCTGTCAAAGGCAGGAGAAGCAGGCTCAGTATAAAGAAATACTGCACAGAACAATTCTGCTGTTATAAATATATCCTTGAAAAGAGCAGAACCTTCTGTGGCCATGAAGGAGTACTGTCTGTGGTGCTTCCCCAGCTTATCCACTGTCCATCACTGCACATCTTTTGGGGCTGCTCTGAAGAAGTAAACAGACATTGTATCTCAAAAGAGGGCTGCCTGAGGACACTGCTTGAAACCAATCTGGCACAAAATCCAGTGTTTGACACAAGCCCTGGATCTGATTTTTCACAGTTGCATGATGCGTGCTTTTACCAGGAAACAAGTAATTTTTAGAACAGCTACTAATTCCTGTGCTTAAGGGCAGCACTCCTACAGCCAAGCATTTGGAAGGCTTGCAGTGCCTCACAGCAGGAGAGCAGCAGAGCTGCAGTGGTTTACAGTGGTAAAGAAGCTGGGCCTAGGAGTATATCCAGCATATGTATTCCTAGGCAAGGATGGTAGGCATACAGTCAGAGCAGCAAAGTACAGAAGAGAAGGATGACTTAAAGGGAGCTGCAAGTACTCATCAGTCCTTGCTCCACATCTGTGCAGTCCCTTTTGGTAACTGCATTGTCCACAGGGCCTTTGCTGAAGCAGAAGGGAGGAGCCAGCTGGTGACTGACATGTAAGGACTCAGGAGGGTACCCACGTGTCAGCTGAAAAACAACATGTGTGCTTGGTGTTTCCAGCACACAGTCCAGGTGCATGTTGGATGCACTGTGCTGGACCCCTGGAGCTCTCTGGATGGGAAAAGAGGATGAGATGACAGAAGTGCTGGGTAGCTCATGGAAAGCAGTGCCTTCTCCACTTGCCATGGTGCACTTGCAAGCAATTATGGACATTAGTGTTGCAATGGTGACAAGGGAGGTCTCAAATAATCTGATTTCCACTTCAGGGGTATGTTTCCTCTCTCAGGCTATGGTTCCATATTGAACCAGACCAGGGATTAAAGTGCTTAAAACTCTGACACATTTCCTGCAGACTGGAAATGAGTAGGAAACATCATGTGGAAAGGCTGAAACTGCATCTTGCAGGACGGATATTCCTTGGGCTGTGATCATAGACAACCTTCCAGCATCTGTGATATCCAATTGCAGCAAAAATGTTAGCCCAAAGACAAGGCACAGAGCTCAGGAGGAACTGATCACCAGGGTTTCTAGCTGGGAGGCCAGACAAAGACATGCAGAAAGACTCAACACTCTGGCTGCTCTGGATTATCAGGCAAGAGCACTCCATGTCTGAGGAGCTGGGAGGCTGCCAGGATAACCCAAAGCCCCACAGAAGACCTGGCCCCAGCTGCATAAGACACCCCTGCCCCATGTCAGTCAACAGATCATTGCTCCTGGGACAGTTCAGCAGGTTTGCTGAAAGCTCATCAAAGCTCAGTCATGAAATCTCCCCCCAGCCCAGTGAATTGACATTCTCTAGTTGGTGCTAATGATGTCAGCTGCTTAATTAGCTGAGCTCACAAACCACCTGCCTAAATACAACTGGTTGTGAGCAGAGAAATTTTACTGAAAGGTCTTTTAAGATGAGGCCCAAGATGTGTGATATTTATTCATGCAGTGTGCACATTTTGGTTGCCATGTTTCTTGTAAATGCCTACATTTCTCCTTCAACTTAATTTAGCTTTTTAACTACTGTTTATATATTAGTAACTCTTTAAACTCTTGGAGTTATTTAGGGCATTTTGCTCATCTTTACCTGGGAAATCTGTGTTGCAGGGGTACTCACAGGCACACTTTCAGTCCCTCCTGTGGGAATAAAGAACTTCAGTCAATTAAAATGACTTATAATGGCTGCTATTAATAACTGGAACAGAGGGTTTGAAGTCCCTCTTGAGGAACAAATCGGTTTTAAAGGACTCAAGTCTCACTTTAGGAGGTCTGAACACCATATCTTTTGTAAAATAAACTGCAATTATAAAATGGGAATGACTCACCTAAATTCAGATGTTAAATTCACCTTATTTGCTGTCCTTTGTCTGGCCAGAGTTGATCCATGCAAGGAAGTGAGCAAGCTTGTATGGGCAATTAGGACTAAATTGCTCCCTGTGAAGTGTAGTTCTGTGTACCAGCCTTAGATAACACTATTTTTTGGGTTTGGTTTTTTTTTTTTTTTGTCCTAAAGCATTACTGATCTGTTTCTCTACTGAAGCAGTCAGTTTTGTCTTCTACTATATCTGTACATATTTCTATTACCTCCACAAAAGGCAAAATACCTTATCTGTATATTTTAAGTTTTATTTTGTCAAAATGTGCAATCCAAGCAGTAATGATATCTTTTCTAACCTCCCAAAATTACACCTTTTCATTGGTTTTGTCATTCCTGGGGGTTTGTGGTGTGGTGATTGATCCCAGCTGATCTTGTACAATTTAACATTGCTGAAACAGATTTGGCTGATGGAGGAGATTATATCTATTTTGCAGAAGTGTTTTGGACACTGCAGAGACATTATCTCTAGGCATTAATCCTAGAATCATGGAATCATTTGAGTTGGAAGGGACCTTTTAAGGCCATGTAGTCCAACTGTCTTGTGCAGAGACCTTCAGTTGTCCAACAGAAATCACCTCTGGCTGTGCTGCCGTTGCCCTTTGAGGCAATTGCAGTCCTATGGCCTTGGTGTTATTCCCTCCATCAGGCTCCCTGCCTGGATCTCACTCCCAGAAAACACCATGCTACTCTGTTCCTCATTCCCCTTGGGAATGCCATTTCAGGAGATGGGTTTTCCCTTGCCTCCAAGGATTTGCCTCTGCTGTTAAGTCACAGACATGACCAATAACCCCATGCCCAACTCCAGGGGAAGCCAAGCTCCTTCTTTCCATGCTGGCTACAGATGCTTGGTGCTTTTCCAGCCTGGGCCTTTAAGATAACAGAAATGCAGTCCTGCAGAGGCTGGAAAAGCATGCAGGGAGGACTCTGCACAGTCAGCCAGTGGAAAGTTGAAGCCTGGAAGTCAGAGCTATACAAGGCATAGCTCCATTCTGATTTTCTTTACCCCTGAGGGGGAATGTGGGTTACCAGCAAGGACACCTATGAAATGGCCCTGTTCTGGTCTCTAGGATTTGTCCTGATTCAGAGAAACTTGAGCAAATTCCCCCATGAATTGCAGAAGGGAGAGGCAGAGAGGCTGTGTGCCCCTCTCTGCCCATGTGCCACTTCTTGCCTGTGTTCATGGCTCTCTCAGCTGTGGGGCTGAGTAGCTGGGTCAGACACTGAGCCTCTGGGGGGTACCCTCTCATGCTCCCTCCTAGGAAAACAAGAAGCAGCAGGCTGACTGTGAGAAGTGACTATGACTGCAAACTGCCAGTTGTTTGGGGTCAGAACTCATCAGCCAGCCTGCACCATGTCCCACATTTCAACTTTTAAATTACAGGTTGTTTTCATCTTCAACTTTGGCCTGTCTGGTTCTTTTTTCCAGATTTTCTCTGCAACCACATGAATTAGGAACTGGCCTTTGGCCAGAAGTTTCTCCTGATGCCTGGAGCTGGGGCTGTGTCTACAGTGACTCTCCTGAATCATGGAAACTGAAGCCCATGCCAGGTCTGTTGGGCTCTTGCTGGGAGATAGCAAGGACTGACCCAAAGAGAGCAAGAGGATATGTTTCTGAATTAATAGTACAACACAAACCAGGTGCTGGGAGGACAAGGAGATGATGTTTTTACAACATGGGTGGGTGTATTGAGTGCAGAGCTCTGTGAAGGACTGGAGGTGTCAGGTAGAAGCATAGCACAGCAAAGAGCCTTCTCAAATTTTCTTTGGGTGTCTTTCAGTCTGATACAGAGGGCCTGAGCCATGTCCTGCAGAGATCTGTAGGGGTCTTTCATGTGGATTTGATTGTGCATCAGTCTGTAATATCCTTGGATTTACTAAAAGTGAGGAACTGCTCCTGAGTGAGACTGGAACTGGGGAGAGGATCACTGCTACTGTGACCTTTGCCATGAGCACTTCCACCTTTGCCATGAGCACTCTCTGAATGTACCCAGTCAAAACCCAGATCATTTCTATAAAGTCACTGCAAAGAGCTGAAGCAGAGGAGGCTCCTCACAGTCTCACTGTGGGAAACAAGGGACTCTGTGCATCTCCCAGTTTCTGCACTGAACATCTGCAGCCCATGAGGGCATAACAATTAATTGGAAAAAATCCCTGCGATAATTTCCTTTTCAGCCTGCTGTAGTGTAAGGGTTTAGGTACATAGACCTAATTTCATCAAATTAGAATAATCATGATAATAATAGAGAAATTAACTTTTCTGATAACTATGCCATGAATAGTGGCACCACCAAGCACCTTCTAAGAGGGAAAGACGTGGTCCAGTCTCCCTCCTGAGCTGACAGCTGTGGGCACTCCTAGAGCTGCTCCCTCTGCTCACAGTTCCAAGAGTTCCTCACCATATGGACACAGTGCCTCTGAGGTGGCAAGGCAAAGCACAATGCAAGGGGTTTGGGGTGGAAGGCAAGCACCACATTCCTCTGAAAGAAGTCAGTAACCACTAAAACCCTGGATTTGAGCTTTTCAGACTTTCTAGAATGCAGCCAGCCTTACAAGGACTGATTGCATGCAAGCAGTGTGGCCTGGATACATCTTGGTGCTTGCAAGACTGGGATTGGTGCAGATATCTGTGTTGTGGCACCGATATGAACAAGAACCCCTCTCTACAAAGCACATGGGGAGAGAAGCAGATCCTCATCACAGAACCCTCAGGTAAAACATAGCTTTGGACAGCCAAAAGTCTCTCTACATCCTAAGGCAGAAGTGGGGCACGAGGCAAGAAAAGGAATGGCTTTCCACATTGGACATTACATATGCCACAGGAATATTTTCCAGAGAGGAGAGGGATATGGTTCTAAAATAAGAAATAAAATGTCAACCCCCAGATATTTCTAAGAACTGAAAGTACTGAACATTTGCCATGGTTGAGAGGTGCTCTCAGGGGCCTGGCTGGTGGCCAGCAGACAGCTCCTATGAGAGCATGTTTCTCTCTTGCTGCCTTTCATTCTAGCAAGAAGTGAAATAAGAGGCTGCTTTACCTTCGTGTTTGTTTGTGTCCATGGCTGCTATGGGGAGTGCGTCCTCGCAGGGACTCGTGTCCTCACTCGGGAGGGCTCTGGCTGGTCACTGGGAACATCCCATGGCTTACAGCTGCCCACATGGGAGCCCTGGGCTGGGGCAGCTCATCTGAACCCTGAGTGCAGAAAGATGCAGAAAGGGTTTATTGAGCAGAGCTGCTCGAAGTTCAGGCAACAGAGAAAGGAGGAGGGATTTGAGACAGAATGAAGCATCCTAAAGATCTGTTTGGGTTCACAGAGTGGATGCTGGTACAAACACTTTCCTCCCAGCCCAAGGCCATTTGTGCTTCCATGGATAGGTGACTAAAAGGTTCTATGTAGTCCCACAGAGACTGTTTTCTCAGTAAGATACTTCCTGTATGAACACTGAATCAAAACATGCTGTAGTTTTAACAGCACATGAACACCTTGCACAGGTGTTCTGCATCCAAGAGTCAGCTTTTTGCTAGGCAACCAGTCACCCAAAATCTGCTTCACACCTGTGTTTGGACCACAGAAGTACTGCCTTCAGAATGCTGCTGCACAGTTCTGCCAGCACTTTAGGAGGGACTTGTCCTGCTGTACCTGTTCTCTCTGCCCACAGCCTCCCTGACTGGGAGACACAGGAGTGCTGCAAGGCACCTCAGTGTCAGAGGTGTGGCCTCTGTGGGAGCCAGGGACAACAGGGCATGATGCTGTGCCCAAGCCAATCCCATGGTAAAAAAAATTCTTTTTTGGTATTAGGTATTCCAGAGAATGACAAGACTGCGAGTTGTTTTTAAAGTAACTAAATCTCTCTAGAAGTTTTGAGGACCAGGTATTTAAGTGTGTGTCTCAGAGCAAAACAGATTTATAAATTCAACTTCAGTAGTAGAGTTGTTAAAACTTTGCTCCCAATTTAAATTAGTCAGCACCACAGAAAATTCCTGAGACTGGGCTGTTGAACTAGGACTAGTGTGCTTAACAGAGAACTGGTTTTAAAATTCAGAATTGCTTTTGCAATGCTGAGGGAAGAGGAACAAGTAGGAAAGACAAAACAGATATGTAAGAAACATGAACCTCCTCTGTTTTCACTGAAAACAAAGAAAACAGCATTTTGCTGGAAAATAATGGATTTCATTTTTGCATATTTTTGCCTATTCTATTAAGGACATGTTTAAGCACAGTCTGTGTCCTCTGCAGAGCTCAGGAGTGAGTCTTTGAAACTGGGACACCGGGGATGCCACCATCCCCTCCTGCTCCAGGCAAACCAGGAGTTTTGCTGACTGCACTGCAAAGTAGGTTGACCTTGGTTAAGTGGGTCCAGAAAATCTTATCTGTTTTACCAGAGTAACTGTCTTTGTGTGTCCTCTATCTGCAGCCTGCAACTTCCTGAGTTACCCCTTGGTTCTTTGTTATGTTAAATAATTGCATTAACATTGGCTACTTTCCAGAATTTAGGGCTCACTGCTGTACCTGGTGAATGTGTAACATTGCCTCTCTCTCCCTGGTTCTCCTGAATTGCTGAACATAAGAAGCAAAACTTATCAGTCCTTCCTCACCACTGGAACAGAACCTGAGCCTTGCCCTGGTTTGCAATGAAGGTTTGTCCTCTGTTCCCCCCAGCTGTGGCTGGGGAAGCTGTTAAGATTGTCCTCACCAGGGACAGGATTTCAGGGAGCCTGAGCTGGCTGAACAGTGTCTGGCTTGTGCCTAAAGGGTGCAAAAATGGGTTGGAGAATAGGATTGGTATTTGGCCCTAAGACCCTGGATGGGGCTGCTTGGTCAAACCATCCCTCTGCTGGCAGTGGACAAGTCCTAAACTCACAACAGAATCAAGGTGAGCAGGAGCCCTGGTATGGCTCTAGTTCAGCTTCCTGCTCAAATCAAGAGTAATGTCAAACTTCCTCAGGACTCAGTCCAGCTCTGGTCTGGACAGTTCCCACACTGGAGTCCTCACAGCCTCTCTGGGCCCTCCAGTACCCTGAAAAAGAATATTTTTCCTTACATCCAGTCAGGGTTTCCCGTAGCTGCAGCTTGGACCCAGTGCCTTTCACTGTGCACCTCTGGGAAGATTCTGGACTCCATCTTTTACATCCCCCTTGAGGCAGTTAAAAGCTGGAGAGGATCCCCCTCTTCATGTTTTTGTCTCAGTCCTGAGCAAGTCCCTTCCTGTACACACAGACATGATTCCCTGTGCACATCAGCAGCAAGTGCAAGCCCTCCATGAAGCTCCTTTCCCAAACCACTACCAGGCCTCCACTTGTGGCAAATCCAGGGTTTGTCTGACATGCCAGCCAGCACAGGGTAGTTCCCTCATCAACCAGGAGATGTTATGGCTCCTCTGCAGGCTCCCCACTGGCCAGGCTCAGTACCCAGTCACAGGGAGCCATTCACAGGCTCCCATTCAAGCCCAGGTCCCCTGCTTTAGGGACAAGAAAAGGCAAAGATGTGATTGTTTCTTCAGAGCTGAGCACTAAAACTCATTTACACTCCTGCAGTTCTCATCTAGTCAGAATATCTCCAGAGCAAAGCCCAGAGAAGAATTTGAAGGTGTTAAAGCCACCAGATTCCTCCATCAGGGCAAAAAGATGTATTGTCCCCTTCTGTTTCTATCTCCCCTCAGCAGCCAAATCTTCTGGAACCGAAGAACTTCTGCTGTTTGTGACTGCCATGCTGCTGGCCACTGGTGGCCAGCAAAGATCCCTGCCCTGGTGCCTTGCACGAGCAGCTGGCACTGCAGCCAACCTGTCAACAGAGCCTGGGCCAGCACCCACTTCCCATGAGATCCCTGAGGGAGAAGGGAGGGATGGATGGATGGATGGATGGATGGATGGATGGATGGATGGATGGATGGATGGATGGATGGATAAGGTCCCAGTGAGTTGTGCCCTTGAGGCAGCACAGCAGAGGGGTTCCTGCACAAGCCATGCACGGTGCAGAGAGGGGAGGCAGCTCCTGCAGCCCAAACTGCAACTGTGTGACTGTGCTCCCCCTGCCAGCACTCCCCCCACATGGAATGGCACAGCTGGGGGAGAGAATCAGCTGTGCAGAGGATCACAGTTCAAAAAGACTGAGGGATACACCAAACTTCAGCATGCAAGCAGGCAGGGTTCAGTAAAGCATTCACAGCCTAGCGTGGAGCAGAACTGTTACTGTTTGCCTGGCTTCCTGCCTCATTCTGCTTCTGAAATCATGACATGGGTAACAGTGCAGGAATCCATGTGCACTTTTGCTGCTTCAAGTTATTAAGCATCCACAGTTTTCCTTAATAAATGCTTGGGATCTTCCTGGTGACTGTGTCAATGCTGCTGGCTGAGATTGCTGGCTGTTTTAAATATCCCACTTGGAGAACAACCCCCAGTCCTCTAAAGAGAACAAAAAATCAGTTATTTACTCTCATCACTCTTGCACTTTGTGTCCAACTAACTCCAATGCAGCTGTCATCCAAATAAGTCAATTCAGCATGATAATTCAATTTAGCTTGTAAATGGTGAGAGAAAAAAAAAAAAAAACCTTTTTAAACTGTTTTAGAAACCTCACTATAAATGCAGCCTCACAAGATTGTCCAGTACACTAAGAAGCTAGAACTCCATTCAGAATCTTGGAAGAAATCAGCTGAAAATAACTGTGGGCACTGAAGATGCAAAACACTTTAAATATCGTTTTATGTGCAGCACACACAATATAATTAGTTATGGCTCTAGCTTTATCCATAATATGAAAATGGCATAATTAACCCCACTCTTCATCCCAAGCCGAGTACATTTTAAACTTACCCCAGGCTAGCTGAAGATCCTTCAGCACTGGTGGTTGCTAGAGTTGGGAATTAGCACTGTGCAAGAAAGGAGAGAGAGAGGGAGAGAGAGCAATGGTGGCTTGACGTTTCCCAGGATGGGACTGTCACATGCTAATCACTGATTTGAGATGCAAGCATAACAAAAACCTTCTAATTATATAATCTTCAGGTCACATTCTCATGTGCCCATGCGAAAACCAGGACTGTGCACTTGGAGGAAGGCGTTGCAGAATTTCTGACTTTTTAATTAGCACTGCACAGGGCTGGGGCGAGGAGCCCTGGGAAGTGACGGCAGCGGGGCCGTGTGGGGCCATGTGGGGCCGTGCTCTGGCTGCTGTGGCCCTGCTGCTTTGCCAGGCTCAGGACCTCCTGTGGCACCCAAAAAAGAAAACTTCCAGTTGGGGACAGGGAAATGGGACCAGCTCCTCCCTGCCTGCTGGCACCCTGGCTTTCCTAGGGATGCCAGGGCCGAGAAGGCGCAGGGGCCAAGGGCAAGGCTGCCAAAGTAGCCATGGCAGGGGAGCAGCAACACGAACCAGCACTTGAGTATTTTCTGTTTCTTGCTAGATGATGAAAAACTTTCTTTTGAGTAAAAATAATTAAGGGCTTGGAGGGAGCAGCAGCCTCCACACCTGCTCAGTTTCTTCCCTAAGGAGGATCAGCCCTTCACTTGAGGGCCCTTTGCTCCAAAGGGAGCATGTGGAGAATGCAAGTAACCCAAGGGCAGGGCTGTCAGGGCAGTGCTTGCGCCAGTCCACCGAGCTACTCTGAAGCATAAGAACAGGGAGACATAAAGGAGGAGGCACAGTAACAAAAGGCAGACTAATTTCTCCCTGAAAGGCAAAGATCTGCTTCAAAGATACCCTCCAGGCAGAAAATGTGAAATGTGAAACTGCACAGCCTAAATCAGTATAATTGCTGTGCAGCTGAGATAAATGTGGAACCCTAGCAAAGGAGCTGAAAGGACAGGCTCCTAAATTAACAGAAGCTCTCTGGAAGATGCTGCTACCTATGAAGTCAAGGTCTAGGGACAGAGGACACAGTATTTCTTTTTTAGGTTTTTTTTGTTTGGTATTTTTTTTGTTTGGTTGGGGTTTGGGGTTTTTTTGGTTTTTTGTTGTTGTTTTTGTTCAGAAGCAAAACGAAGAAAATATAACAAAATCAACTGTTCCCCTCAAGCACAAACTCAGGTGTCCTTTTGCAGTCTACCTCTAGAAAAGGAGAATGGTGTATGTATGTATGAGAATAGAAGTATTTTCACTTCAAGACAAGAAGGCAGAAGCTATTTCAGAGGCAAAACCCCATGAGACCATGCAACGCATTTGTAGAGAGCCACTTCTCCCAGAGCTGATTCTCCATCTCCTGTGGACAGGCTGTTCCCAGAGATGGGTCCATGGAGCACACAAGCCCTGGGGAGCAGGCACTTTTGGGTGGCAGAGAACGTGAGTCAGCAGCGTTGCTATGAACCATTCTTCCCCTTGCGGGGGTGGTGGGGAAGGAATGCTCTGCCTCTCTGGGCCAGAGCAGACCCAAACGGACCATCAGAGTGGCGGCTGTGGCCACCATCTGCAGAAGGACCCTGAGGAAACATCCTCATGGCAGGTGTTGTCTCTGGGTTGGGGGCTGTGGTGGTTCTTAAACAGCCAGCCAAACCAGTGTGTAAATTTTCTTCTTATTTTTGTGGTAGTTTTTTTTCTTTAAACTCCAACCTGATGCAGGTTGCCTGGAGGGGTTGTGGAGTCTCCATCCATGGAGTCAAGACCTGACAGGATGTGCTGCAGGGCAGCTGTCATGGGTGACCCTGTGTGTGCAGGGACCTGCAGCGAGGCCTTCCCCACCTCAGTGACAGCTTTGGGGTCTTTTGTCACTTGTGTCACCCTCACTCCGAAACTGGTATCACTTTCCTCCCTTTTCGTCCCACACACTGGGTTTTGCAGTGAAGGTTGGAGAAGACCTCCATGATCACTGAGTACAGCCACCAACCCAACACTGCCAGGCCCACCAACAACCCATGGCCGTCCCCAAGTGCCACATTCCGGGGTTAACACTTCCAAGGAAGGTGCTTCCCTGGGCTGCCTGCCCCAATGCTTGGCCACCCTTTCTATGAATACATTTCCTAATATACAATCTAAACCTTCCCTGGCACAAATTGAGGCCCTTTCTTCTCATCCTGTCACTTGTAACCTGGGGGAAGAGGCTGATCCCCATCTGGCTGCTCCTGTCGGGGAATTGCAGAGAGTGGTGAAGACCCCCTGGGCCTCCTTTTCTCCAGGCCGAGCCCCCTCAGCTCCCTCAGGAACTTGTGGGCTGGTGCAGCAAGCACCTAGCAAGATTTTCAAGCATCGTTCTCGTGTTCACTCGAGAATACGAGAGCTACTTTAAAAACCAGCATGCCTGCTGAGGAACAAACAGCGCTGTCACTGTTCCAGCCCGACACATAGAGATATTCAAACCCACAGCAGCCAAAGCCACACGCAGCTCCCAGCGCCGGGCCCTGTGAGAGGGGAGCGGGGCGGGGCGGCAGCAGCGGGGCGGGCCGGGGCGGGCGGAGGTGCCGTGGCCCGGAAGGGAAACACCGCGGATCCGGCTCGGGGAGTCCGGGAGGTACCGGGCAGGAAGGTGGGAACGCTGGGGAAAAGGAGTGATGAAGCTCTGTGGGTGTCACGGTTCCGCGGAGAACGGGGATGGAGGGGAAAGGGCTGCGCGGGAGCTCGGCTGAGGGGAGGTGGGCAGGGGATAGGGTCCGGGAAAGCGGGGCTGGGAGGGGATAGAGGGTCCCCAGACAGCCGGCATGGGGAGGGTGCCATGGCGAAGGGCGGGACGAGCCGGCGGAGCTGCACCCTGCCCGGGGCTCTGTGCTCTGAACTGAGAGGAAGGAGACGGAACCGTGTGTGACAGAGGCCTCGGGGCACCTGCCACGGTCTCCTTTCTCCCTCCCTCGGGGCACCTGCCATGGTCTCCCTTCTCCCTCCCTCACTTCTGCCGAACTGCCCCGGGCAGGGTCAGCTTGGCTCTGAGCTCCTGTGCAGCCCCAGTGGAGCTGGAGTGGGGAGAGCAGCCGCAAAAGGGGAATTTGCTTCTTTCCCAAGCCCTCCTTTGGGCTGTTACTTGTGTGCGGCCACATCGGGTCTTGTCCTGGCTGTGGAGGTGCCAGTGCAAAGATCCAGGGAATAAATTCTTGCCGGGCTGCCCACAGCTGCTCACTGTCTCCTGCAATAGCTTCCCATTAGCAGGAGGTGCCGCCGGAGGATCTGTTAATGCTGGGCAGCGCTGATGGGCTGTCAGCGCTGGGAAAGACAGTGCTGAGAGAAGGGGAAGACAAGTCCAGTCCCTCCCCTGGCCAGGCTCAGCAGCATGGGCAGCTCCCTCCAGAAGGGAGCCCAGTGTGAGATTATGTGGAAAAAACCATTGTATCTTGGGCTTTAGTTCCCCTTCCACCTTTTAGTCTCAGCCCTGCACACACTGCTGAGTTAAAAAGTGACAGGGCAGAGGCTTCTGTGAAATCTCCCTTGAAGGTTTGTCCTGTGGGCTTCCGTGTCCAAGAGGGTTCCATCAGAGTGATAGGCTCATGCTTTTGACAGAGAGTTTTGTCAAACTTGCAGCTTATGGCTGAGGAATATTACTTTTGTTTTCTAAAATCACAGAACTCACTAAACAATGTTCCAGAAGAATACTTTTTGCTCCAGGTGCATACGGACACACCAACATGCAGATAATCAACAGTGGTTTGAGAGGGTGCCTTGTCACATCGAAAAACAAATAATGTGTGCTCAGACATCCACATGGTGATGGGCTTAATCACCTTCACAACTAAGGACTGTTTTTTCCTCTTCTTCCCCAAAGAAACATGAGTTGGTTAGCGAGGAAAAAAGGGAAGCCCAACAGAGGAGGAGGACGAGGCAAAGGAGGCGGTGGAAAACGAGGAGGGGGCAGTGGCCATTCAAACAAGCCTCAGCTCGGTGGAAGTAGGAAATGTTCAACCAAAATTTGGGACGATGGAGATGATTTTTGTCTCTTTGAGGAACCAAGGCTAGAATCCAGGTATTTCTGTTGGTTTGGGGGGAATTGGCATAGAGGTGTTTGGGATACTCTGGACCATTTGAGATAGTTTTTGTATGTTGACATACATAGACATTTGGGGCTGGTTTTTGGATGTGTTTGAATATAAAAAAAGTGAAAGAGTGATAAAAGTGTTTCAGTATGAAGCAGTTTTTACATGTCTGTTTTGAATAATGTTTTATAGATTTGATATCTAGCTAAGTGTTTTATTTTTTAAGGATTATAACCTCTGATTTTCTTCTTTGGTCATAAAGTAATTTCAGGACACTTTTGGTCAGAACACATTAATAAACACAGGATATTAATATCTGTGTATTACAGAACAGAAGCTGGGCCATGGAAAATCAGCAATTTAGAATTATTTTAGTATCCTGTGTGAGTTCTGACCCATCTAAGCTTAGAAATAAGCTTAGAAATATGTGGTTGTATTGTAGTCTAAGAACAGCTTTACTTAGCAAAGTGTTCAGTAAATAATTTTGGATTCAACACAGGATGCAATACACGTATGCACATGTGTGTACAGATAAAGACAAATCATGATCACATAAGAGTGACTCCAGCTGAATAATCCTTAGGTGATGGATTTATCTTATTTTGATTTTCTTGTTTTGAATTATAAGTTTGGGCCCCAACATTCCAATTCAGTCAAGAACATTTGAGCCAGGCAGGTAACTCATGATTGTGTCCTGTTTTAATTTTCAGATCAAGTGCCCCTGCCAGAAGAGGAGGGCAAATGAAGCAGAGACCTGAAGCAAAAATGCCTCTGCAGACCATACACATGACATCAGAGAACCAGAGAAGAGTGAAAGAACTCCTTCAAGAGCTGCAAGGGCAGGAGCTGGCACCTGAATCAGAGTTAGTTTAAATGGAGGCACTGCTTCCAGCTTCTCTGCATGAGCATGCTTTAGCAGGCATACTGTTAGAAACAGTATTTTTCCCCTTAACTTTTAATTATATCTCAAATCCTATGGTTTTGACTCTGCCTTGTTCTTCTACAGTATTAACTCTGGGGAAAGGGTAGCCAAATCTACCATTTAAATGAAGGATTTAAAACTGCAGAGGCAGAGTTTTATGTCTACTCAACATTTTAATTTTGTTTCATTTTAACTTGATA